AAGCACCGCCTGCAAACAAAAACACGTTCAGTTATTAAAACCTGATTAACTGTTTCTCCCTGGAGTGTTGTATCTTATTGGAACAACGATTAGGTTCAAGAAAGAAACAAGTAAACACTAAACTAGGCCTGCATATAGTCACCACATGCAGACAAGACAAATGGCAGAGCCTTCTTGTATCTGCCTATCATGCTGTCCTAATGGGCGTTATAAAAGCCCTGGATCTATAAAGTGGAAAGTACACCACTACACTCTCCCCATACGGGAGCAAAGACTTTCAGTTTAGTCCTCCCTCAGTGTAATGTGACTCCTAAATGGACAGACTCCTGCCCTGGCCCCAGCTTTATGCATTTACTTAATTCTCACGATCCTTGAGGAGTGACGGACAAGATCAATAAGATTATATTGATTCATTTTTCTAGTGTAACTAGCTATAATAATAGTCACAGTATGAAGAGATGGGCACAGACTGTATCCAGTAAGAATATTGTATTTGGATAAGTTAACATAGCAATCAATACAACATGGATTTTGAGAGAAGGATGAGAAATCAGACATGTGCTCGCTACTAGTTTGTTGCAATGTTGTTCAATTCAACATTGTATCTATCAGCACTATTTGCACTTAATAACTTGAGACAGTCTATAAATCTGGCCACTGGCTTCTAGATGTCTGTGAAAAAGAGATATATCCATTACGAATTTGACTTGGTACATACTAGTAAGATAAGATGTGCTTTATTTATCTCACAAAGGAGAAATTTACATGTCACATTGGCATGGATAGAAACACTCAGGTTGCGGTCAAAAGTAATACAAGTGCTTCACAGTTCATAAAAACCCAACAGACCCTCCTGAAAAAATATCTGTCCATGCATATATATATACATATATATATATATATACATATATATATATATATATATATATATATATATATATATATATATATATATATATATATATATATATATATATATATATATATATATATATATATATATATATATACACACACACACACACACACACACACACACACACAGAGCTATGGGGCATGAGGTTTAGTGCAAATTGTGTGCACCATGTGCACTTGTATATTGTAAATAGTAACTGTAACTCTATTTCAAATTAAAATTTATTCTTTAGAAGTGTTTTTTTATTCTTATTTTTATTATCTCTTTTTGACTGTTGCACTGAGCCAAAGCAATTTCCTAGTCTGTGACCTCCTGTTACTTACGTGGCAATAAAAAATATTCTGATTCTGATTCTGAAATAAAACATTCTACAGCAATTATTGATAATGTGTTCTTTTTGGACAATAAACTGAAGATTTTACCTCAAAATTACTTTTTTATGGATTAAAAAGTATCAAAAATGCTCAATTGTTAAATTGGTTGTGCAATATTTTTTAGTATTTTTACTTTAAAAAGTATATTGTTCTAAAACTAGGTTACTGTTGATTCATATCTCATTTCCGATCATTTTGACCACTTTTGTATCTTTATAAACAAAACGTAAATACTTGCTCTCTTACTTACTTTTTACATGGCACCCTGAGGCACTGAGTTTACGCAACATGAATTAACTATTGATGTTGAAAGGTTTACGTTTCAGTCATGACCAGCAGAGGGCGGTAGAGCAGATCAAGTTAAACACGAAAATGCAAAGCCAGCAGGGTTGAGAAACATGTATCAATGTTGCAAATATTCTCACATTCACTGAATAGAATAAGTGGAGCAGAGTTTTTTGATCAGATATGAAGATGACAGTGTCAGCGGTATATAATGGAACAACAGATTCTGATTTTCACCAATATTCATAAAACTAAACCTTGACTGACTGTAGCACATTGTCAGTTTAGTTCCCATGTGACTCAAAACCAGTGCTGTGCTGTGGAGGTGCAGTGCAGTTGAGACCGGACTGACCCACTTCACTCTGTGCACGGGGGAAACAGGAACTGCAGATGATTGAATGTCATGTTCATGCGCTCAGAGCCGCTTCTGAAAGTGGTGCATTCTACATCTCTGGCAGAACTAAGAACAGTATGTGCTCAACTGAGGTCTAATGTCAACCCCTTTTCCCCATTTTACACAGCTGGTTTGCACTTTGTGGTTCTTAAAACATCGACAGGCTGGAAGATGTTTTGTCCACTTGGGTCATTTTTGATAATGTTTGGCCTAGCGGGGGTTCCCACTTTTGGCACCTCACTTTGGCCACAAAGAGACAGCTGTTCATTAAACACCTACATTATTGTGCACTTGACGAAAGAGAAATGCTATCACTTGTATTCAAACAAAATTTTAACAGTATAGTCATAAACATGTATATTATTTTGTATTTGGACTTGGGTTGTTGTTATTGCTTTTGCACTTATATAATGCCTTGATGGATATTGATGGTAATATTCATTTTAAATAAGATAGAGTGATGAAACATGGATACCAAAATAATGATTTATGTGGAAAGTTTGGTTATAACTCATATAACGTTACTTTTCTTGTTTACATTTTGGATGGATTTTAATAAGGGTTTGGTAGGGTTCAATAACCGAATGATCATCTTGGATCAAAACAGAATAGAGGAAGAGAAGGAGTAGAGGGGATTTATATAATAATGTTGTGGATTAATTACAATTAATTGCATTTTGGGTTCATTTAATTTTTTTCCTGAAACAATAACATACCATGGTGGTACTTACAAGGTGCAAGCCTTCATTTTCTATTGACTCCTATTTTATTAAGCAAGCATAATTGCTCATTGGGTCAGATGGTAAGAGGTTAAGGTAGATTGTCATTATTTAATACACTTTTTAAATATATCGTCCATTATATCAGCCGACCGATAATTGTCCGACCTCTACTTATAGCTGCGCTTTCGTGCATGTGTCTGTTCCTCACATCTGTTCATGTTCTGTTGTGCACATCTGGATTCTCTGTGTTAAATGTGATGAGTGAGTGGGAGGACTTACTCTCATCATTATTTAAGCCTTTTCTGTCATCATCTGTCTTTGTATTTGCCCACATTCATCTGAATGGCATTTTTACGTTGGACTGATGGATGTTGGAATACCAGTTACTTTCTCTTGTGCTTTGGTCTTATGCTGGATGTAGAGACATTAGAGTGTTTCTGTTTGAGTCATCATGGCTCATGCTGCAGCTCACCTAAAGAAGGCCAGAGAGCTTGAGCAGCACCCCGAGTACCAAGCTCTGCAGAAGGCCAGAGATAAAAGGAGACGGCAAAGAGAGAGGCTTGAGCTAAAGCGGAAGGTAACCTTGTGTTTAACTGTCTTCTTGTGCTGGTGTAGTGGGACATTTATTTTGAATTTCATCATAATATGACTGAGTATTGAATTCAATTCACTTCATTCTAGTAATCAAAACATAGTAGGGGTTGGCTGGCATTATGTCCACTCCGTGAATTCATGGCCTTCTCCTTGTGAGATACATGGGATTATTTACTGTATAATCCAGTATGGTTTATAATAAAGCCAAGTGCGGTTCAATCTACACAAATCCTGTTGATTTTCACAGATTACATCTGGTCCACAATGATCCAATCTAAGTGTCATTTGCTCAGCACATGCATCAGTAATGTCATTAATTCCTCTTGATCCTATATAATATACAGTTATTTAACTTCTGATAAAAGTAGCTCTCAGTAACTTGTATTCTCCCCTTTCGTGCAATAATACCATCGCAGCCCCCAAAAGTTTATAGTTCATGTATAGTTTATATTCTTACTGCCTCTAACTTTCAGGATTCCATTGGCGTTTTTGTGCAGAAGCATTGACACCTGATCTCACAGCTATGTGTGGACTTCCATTGAGTTTGATAACACTGACTGCTCCTGGACAGCAGCAGCCTCCTGTAGCGTGCAGCCCAGCTGTCATGCACCCCACCCCGGGACACATACTGCAAGGGGCTGGGTACATGACCCAAGACAGGCCTTCCCAAGTAAAAATAGTCTCCAGAGACGCAGTGTTTACAGTCGCAAGTGGTCCTCTGAATGAAATATCTCCAAGGAAGGAAGGACAGAACATGATAGACCGATTAGGCACACTACATTGGTAGTGGACATGTTTCAGAAACTTGAGTAGTTCATTTGGATTCTTTATTTTATACAATGGGAAATGCAGCGTCTTGTCAGAGTTGTGGATCTGTCAAATCTCCAAGAGGGGCTGCAAGTGAGAATAACTTGAACCATCACACTGACTACTACAGGACAACAGAGCCAGAAAATAAGTTGGATAATTCTTTGGTAAGAGAAAAGTTATGGGCTGGTTTATCTGGTTGTGATTTTGAGACTTAATTGTTATATTTTACACAATGCATGCAAAATTTTTACTCATTGTTTATAACTTGGAAAGTGTTAGAGCACATTCTCTGGATAAGCAGTGTGGGTTAAGTGCACATGCACTGTATGTGTGAGGGAGTGTGCATGCATTAGTGTGTGTCTGTGTGTCGCAACAGAGGTGTGTGTGTGTGTGTGTGTGTGTGGGGGGGGGGGGGGGGGGGGGGGGTGTGTTATGTGTGCATGAGGCTGTGAATTTAATCCAGCCATGTGTTCACACAAATCAACACCAGTGATTGTGAAGTCTTTAGGATCCTTTTTAATCTCCCATATGTTTAAGAAGTGTGACACACTTTGACTTTCATCAGAATGTACATCATTGTAGCATTTTTGGGTGCTCGTCCAAAACAGGACGGCTTCAAATTACAGTAAATTTTTCCTGCAAAGTATTGGATGCAGCTGCCTCTGTTTTTAGCCCTAAATGGGATAGATTGATGTCTTTGTTGAGTACACATGAGGAGGGCAGTTATACTTCTTAGAATGTTGACAGAATCCAGGGGAGCAGATTCCTATTCCAATGTTTCAACCTGCGAAGCAACTAGGTCAACATATGTGTTTCAAAACTAATCTACTGTGTTCACACATTACAAAGCCCTACTAGTTTCCTTTAGACATTAAAATATATATGTTATGTTTTTGTCATTTCAGTCTGACAGCAGCACGAGTTTTCTCAGAGCGGCCCGAGCAGGAAATCTTGACAAAGTGCTGGAGTTTTTGAAAAGTGGTATTGACATCTGCACTTGTAACCAGGTAAGGAAACACTCATACAAAGTCTTCTGTCAATCCTTACCGACTGTGATGTCATGCAGTGAAATGAGGAAGGACCCAAAAGGAGCACTGCAAAATAATAAAATTTAATGAAGAAGAATAAATCCAAAAGTTTAAACTGAAACCAGGGACAAGACATGGGGAAAAAACAACAATGAACTGACGAAAAGAGGACAGGAGCACAGGGTCCAAAAACACATGGGGAGATGCAAGTGTAACACATCAGGGTGGGGCAAACAGGAAGTAAAACTCAGAGAATATATATCAAAATATAAGCATGTAAAAATAAGTCAACAAAAAGTCAACACCATGATATGTAAGACTAATAACTGCTGCAGTATTAGTCAGTGTTGACAAGTTACTCTAATATTTTATATATTACTAGTTACAGGGATGAGACTGGAATATATGTGTATTATTACAATCTCTATCCTGTACCTAAATGACACTAGTTTTGAGTTACTTTTAGTCTTCTACACAGTGACATTGCTCTGGTGTTGTTTCAAATACACACAAGTTAGTAATAAATTAATTGTAAATATCTGTCCATTTTCTTCTGCTTTATCCCTTGCCGGGTTGCTGGGGTATCAGTCTAAGCAGAGACTCCCAGACTTTCGTATCTACACACACCTACCTTCACTATTATTCAGCTCATAATAGTGAATCCCAAAGATGTTCCCAGGCCAGCTCAGAGACATAGTCCCTGGAACAAAACAAATGTTTAATTTAATTACACTATCAATTGTATGTTTTGTATTTTTTTTGTATTACTTACTAAATATATCACAGTAACTACACACTTTTGTTATGAGTTACTGCATGCATTGGTTGTAATAGTCTTACTTACTATAACTGTTTCAGTGATATTGCCACCACGATACACTGCACATGTTTCACCTTACATATTACTCATACTTACCGTACATACATTGTTTTATATAAACTTACATACCAGCCAGAACCACATTATTATAATCTATAATATATATACAACATAAAAGTGGGTCTGAACCTCTGACTTAAACTGCTGATTTCATGGCCGTGTTTGTGTCTCTTTTGATTGGACATATAAAGAACCACTTTGAAAATAGCAAAAGTTGTGACGGACAGACGTTTGCATATGTGCTCTATCTATCTACTCTAACAGTTTGTCAAGGTAATTTACTTAATACTTGAACTGTATTAACAGTCCTCTTCTCCACAATCTGTGATTTGACCATTCTTCCATTGGATCTATCAACCCTTGAAGGAAATCTGGCTGATCCCTCCTGCATTTGAACATGTATGTGGTATTGTTGAAGGGTCTGGCTGGTCAGACAACTATCACTCCTGAGTCATGATTATATATTAGCTTTCTTTTTTTGTCTGTTTATGATGGATGAGTTCCTGTTTATGCCAAGCTTAAGAGACCAAACATAACTCCCGTGGTCAGAGCTGTTGCAGTACAGAGTGCAATTCACTGAGTGCTGTGTCACGGAGGTACCTCCGCAGCTGATCCGGGTCAGCACATTCTCACCATCACAACCAGCTTATACTGGTCTTCATCTTATTTACACCACACCCCTTTCCTCACCAATCCCCACTCAGGCTGGTGGCCTTGCCCCATGCACCTGCTTTCATCTAATATTTTTCCTCAGTCCTTCTTTATTGATTTATTTTTTCTAATAACCCCTAATCCACGATAATGTACTTGGAGTCTCAAGTTTTTTGGACACAAAGGAGCTTCCTTGTTTAGTGGTAGTTTGCAATCTTTGTCCTTGGCAAGCTGCTGTTGCAGTGTGTATTTAGGACTGTGATGGACGAGTATTGAGAATAGATGGTTGTGTTTGGTGTGGCACCATAGCAGCGCGGCGGCGTGACTGTTTGGATACCCACCCAGTGAAACACAAGAGCCCTGCCCTTCACATCTGAGCCTCAGTCAGGTGACAGAAATATGGATGACATTTTGGGTGCTATCTTTGTCGCTACAGACAAATAGTATCTGGTTGCCAAGTTATTTGAAGTCCATGAAAGTCACATTCATAAATACCAGATTTTTTTTGTTGATATTGATATTATGTAAACCTTTATGGAAATCGAACAAATGTACTCATGAAATAGCTATTCAAATGAATGTTATAGTGATATAAAGTTGAAGTTGAAGTTTGAAACGGGAAATAATGTTAATTGCAATTAATGAGATGTGCTTAAACATCCCACAAAGTGCACAAGAATTAGTTCCAAGTGAATGGGAGTTCTCTTTATTCTCTTTAACAGGCTGAGTAGGAACCCACCCCTTGTCTTACATTGTATTAATCCACTACGGAAATTTGTCTCTAATCGAATCATCGAAGGCAGCTCCCAATTTACACCATAATAAAATCACCAAACCAGCCACAGGAGTGAATGAATTATTCAGACTTACAATCTAAAGTTGTTTCTGTTACGGTAGACACTACCCATTACCCACTTTACCACCTCCTCCAAAGCACCTAAAGTTGTTGTTTGTGACTTTGATTCATGCTGGCTTTATTATATTTGGGTCTAAGGTTGAACAATGATTATTGATCCTTTCACATAATTTACAACATTTTGTGTGATTCACATTAAAACATTGAATGTGCATCAGGCCTACATTCACATTCCAGTATGGTGACACAAATCTGATGTTTTTGTGATATCACTGCTGAGCTGAAGCTTCATCATTGAAATGAGGCTCAGGGGCCATGTGTTCAAAGCAGTTTGTGTTTGGTGCACCTAATGAGGTAAAGGCTTTATCATTCTTTCTGCTGAGTCAGTAAATGTCCAGTACGGTGAAGTGACACATTCATAACTACTGTGTTTAGGAAGTTCTGTAGTGTCACTCTTGTTGAATAACTCTCACAGTTTGTGCTTATGAATCAATTGATCATTTCCTGTAACTTAAATTCTCATTCAGTAATTATTCAAAAAGCAAGGTACAATCTTTAATTTACTGTGTACAAAACAGTGGTATGAAACTGTATGATTCTTTATCTATGCAGTTGTGTGTCTGAAACAAAATAAAAATAGAATTAATAGTATATATTTTGAATAGTTGTAGACCTATTTTATAGAGTAGACGTGTTAATTGCACAAGTTAATATATGTTGATTTTATTGATCATGAGGAAATACTTGAATAATGTGTAAATAATGCACTGATCCTAACAGCTTGATGCTTTCAAAACATGAACAAAAATCATTCATGGTGTAATTAGAATGTGGTTTATCTCCTGGAAAAAAACTATTTTAATATATACCAAATAGGTCTGGACCCTTCTTCAAAGTAGTGACTTCTCTGGAATGCCCTCTTTCTGCCCCTCCCTGAAAGGCCATTTCCAGCCTCTCTAAAAGTGAGCGTTCATACTGAGCGTAGGTCCTACATCTCTGTGTGACGGTGCAGAAACATGACTCCCCTCTGGGCTTTAGGGACCCTGTACCCGTGTGTCTGCTGCTTATGGGGGGTGTATGTGGACAAGTGTCATCAGGGAGTAGGTGTTGTATCGTCTTGGCAACTTGACCGGTGGCTGGATGGGCGTTACTGAGACCGGACGCACCATCCATGTTATGTTCTCTCGATCTGGCTCTGGGACACACAGGGAAGAGCTGATAGAAGCTTTAGGCGCATATATATTCTTTTTATGTGTATAAGGGGATTTTATTGTCGAGGGGCAGTTTGCAAACTTTGCTAAAAGGCTCTAGGAAGGATGGAGGAAGAGGAGGATGAGGTAAATGAGTGCTGTGTTTGTTTTGTCACATGTGTCTGTGGCTTTAGAATAATTTCCATAGGATTTATATTTTTTATTGTTTGATATCTATTGTGTTATAATTGGGGAATCATAAAAAAAAATACTTATGTGCTAATCATGTGTTTGTCAACTGAAAACAATATTACAATATTTGATTTGACTGAGGCAAATGGATTAAAAACTGGAATCTAATAAAACCAATACTAATAACTCATAGCTCTCAAAACAGTGTGGCTTCAATACTGTTTTCTGACCCTTTCACATCTTTAGATCAGCTTTTTTAAACTAGTAGAAAAAAAGGAGAGGACCATGAAATAGGGGCTATTTCCAAAATATTTTGTTTGTTGTTTTGTTCACAACATTTTACTTTTACAAGACTGTTTCTTTTGGAATAAACAAAATGTGTTATTAAAAAAAGTTAGGTTGAGCAGGTTTTATAAGACTGGGAAGGTGTTTTTTAATGAATTGGTAATATTTTTTAAATCCTGATAAGTCAGGATGCATTTTCATATTTTATGCCTACATGGACTTTTCCGTCACATGATCGGTAGCAGACCGTCATATCGCTGCCAGTTAGAAATGGTTCATCTTAGCCTCCATTAGAAGGCCATTGTTTATTGTTTATGTTTGGTTTTTGATACTTCACGGTAATACACACTGACATGGCGCTAATATTGCGACTTACTGCATGTTTGTGTATGTTTCTTCTAGAATGGGTTAAACGCTCTACACCTGGCAGCCAAAGAAGGACACACAGATTTAGTGGAGGAGCTTTTAGATCGAGGATCACAAGTTGACTCTTCCACAAAGGTAACTATTAACCAGTATGTAATGTTAAATGTTCATTGTGTCTTCTTTTTGTTTAAAGCTTAGAAGGTTCTTCTTAAAAAACAAAAGTGTAAAGGAGTTATTACTGCTGACGTGTTTGGGCGGTGGACCTCTGCCTCGGTGCTAGACTAGCTTCTTTACACTTTTGTCTCTTTAGAGCACATGTGTCAAAGTCAAGGCCCGCGGGCCAAATCCGGCCCGCGAATGAATTTTACATGGCCCGTTGCCTGCCATTGACGCACTATTACGTCAATTTCAAGTTTTCCGCTATTTTCATGTTCCCAGATGTCTATTATATCTAATATATTTGGGGATAAGCTTGAGAGCATATTGAATCGAGCCAGCAGGTGGCAGCAGCGCTCTCTGAATGGTTTGAAAACAGCTAGATGCACTTGTTGTGCCTCTTTTTTCTCAGCTTTTGGGTGATTTCAGTAAAACTTCCCTCTACTCAACTGGGGATTACAAGCTAGAAACAAAATTATTTTTGCTGATGAAAGTAGACAGTCTTTTCTTTCAGAATCTGGTTTCGGATTTCAGATAGTCATAGTACACAATATTCTGTGGGTCTTGAAAAATCTATAAAAATCATCAGAAACTGCTGCAGAAACGGCAATATGGGAGGACCTGTTCTGAAATAGGCTGGCAGGCAATGAGTTAATAAATATTAAACCAGTCCGGCCCTCGGCTCACAGCAAATTTGTTTTTTTGGCCCTCTGATTTATTTGACTTTGACATGCCTGCTTTAGAGGAACCTTCTATCCCTTATACAGCAGTATGTGCACATAAAAGAGGTCAAAACCACCCCTGTGTTTTAAGTGTTAGAGCCAGCTGGGAGAGACAACTGCTTGATGACAGCAGAGGAACTAAGTTGAATTTAAGCGAGATATATTGGTGTGCAGTCCGGCACATGTCCGACAGAAATTCTATTCCGCAAATTAAACTTTAAACTGAAGACATTTGTGTTCATCAGAATGTTGTTAAGATTTAAGATGACGGAATGCTCAGAATATTGCATTAAAGTTGCTATTGTGGTGACAGTACAGAAAGTCTAATATGTAAAAGTGATTCTCTTCATTTAAATATGCTGTGTAATTGCCTTGGGGTCACTTTCACAGTTTAGGATCACCCAGCGTTTACACTTGATTGCATCATGACAGGAGCAACGTGGGCATCATCGGCTTGGCAGCGATATGACACCCAAATGCTTCAAGATTAACAGCTTCCAGTAAACAGCTGGCTATAGCCCAATTACTCTGCCCTTGGAATGACACATGACAAGACAAGGACCAACGTTCACTCTTGAATAAAACTGCACCCGTAACCTTTTTTTCCTTGTTGATATTTTTAGAAAGGAAACACTGCACTCCACATTGCGGCTTTAGCTGGACAAAAAGAGGTGGTGCGGCTCTTAGTCAAAAGAGGGGCAAATATTAACTCCCAGTCACAGGTAGGATCACATTTTAACACATTTGTGGATGAAAAAACCCTAATTACAGCTCATTAAAGAACTAACCATGGCTGTTTGTTTAGAATGGCTTCACACCACTCTACATGGCGGCCCAGGAGAATCATCTAGAAGTGGTGAAGTATTTGCTGGAAAATGAAGGAAACCAAAGCATCGCAACAGAAGTACGTGAATATTTGTGTGTCATTTAACAACTCGAGGGAAAAGTTTAATATTGTTCAAAAGTTCATTTAGATTGTGATTTAACCTAAAATGTGAAACCAATATATGACTCATTACATGTAAAGTGACATTTGCCTTTCTTTTGTGTTTTGATTTTGGTGATTATGGCTTACAGTTCCATTTCAATTTTGTTTTATTTGGGGTTTTTACAAGCTGTGAGCCATAATGATCAACATTATAACAAATAGAGGATTGATATATCTCACTTTGCATTAATGAATCTGACATATTAATTTCGCATTGTAAGTTCAGTTACAGAAGTAAATGGACTTTTGAACGATATTCAAATGATCCGAGTTTCACCTATGTATGATTCACTTCCTGACTGCCTCACCTGTTGTAGGATGGCTTCACTCCGCTGGCCATTGCTCTGCAGCAGGGCCATAACCCTGTGGTGTCCCTGCTGTTGGAGCACGACACAAAGGGAAAGGTCCGACTGCCTGCGTTACACATCGCCGCTCGCAAAGACGACACCAAGTCTGCGGCACTCCTGCTGCAAAACGACCACAACGCGGATGTCCAGTCAAAGGTGACAGACCTCACAATATCGATTGTATGTGTGTGTGTGTTTGTATACAGTATACACACACTCTCTGTGTGTATCTACTGTCTATATACACTCAAGAGTTCAAAGGAAGAAGTTGATAATGTGAAATAGACACCATCCAGATAATCACTGTTTGGGATTAGGCTCATTTTGAGGAAGAGAAGGAGAGGAGTACATCGATACCAAGAAATCCAGTATTTTCTTTCTGCAAAGTAATGTTTGTGTATTTATCTTTGTACATCATGAAGGAATTTTGGTTCAATTGTTATTACTTTTAGTCAATATGGGTGTGGATATTCTTTTTTCTAAACAAAAATAGTACAGGTCAGTATTCTAATTTTAGGAGATTAATCATGTTACACTTGAGTTAAATTAATAATGTTGGTGTTTCTTGTGAAAATGAGATTTAAAAAAAATAAATGTACAATGCCCTAAAGAAAAGAAAATCCCTATTTTGCAGACTATGACTAGATTCAGTATTTCAGTTCATGGCATTTTCTGATTGAGGATTTGATGTTGTGTGTTGTTATGAAAGCAGTTCCCCTAACACCCAGATTCCTCCTATCCTCTCTCTGAATGCATCCATAACCAGATGATGGTCAATAGAACCACAGAGGTATCCTCCATACCCTATTTGAATGTCTCTTTCAGCACATGTGCCCGATGTCTCCTCTGATCCGGGGGACGCTGCATGTTATAAACACAACTCCACTGTGCATGCATATGACATGCTTCTACACACACCTGCATGGCTGACACCTCAAATCTGCTAAATACCTTTAGTGTTAGATCTCTTGCTGCATTTACACATATTTTAATACATATACGCTTTTGTAATAATTCTGCTGTTAGATTGTTCACTTACTTCTGTAGTTTAAGACTTCTGTGATTACTCTGTTATAAAACATGGATTAATATGATTTGATATTTAAGTCTACTTTTCATTGTTTTTGTAATTAAATTGCACGATGTCTCACAGAATGGGAAGGTAAGAAGTGCCACATTACTGTATATTGTAGTCTCATGTTAGAGAGCCACATAATGCATAGTCTTATGTGTGTTATTACTTAAGTTGGTGAATTATGTCTACTTCACTTTGTTTTCATTACTTTATTTTTTATTTCAGCTTATATATGTTTTTATGTGATGGAGTCTGGCATACTTGATATATTTTGCTTGTACTCATTTAACGAATGCAACCCAACCTTTTGCATGTTGGTTTTATGTGCATCTTACTGTACATCTGCATGACATTATAACATATGTGTTGTTTTCTGGCCCTCTGCCTCCTCTTGTGTGTTGATGGTGTGATGGCTTTTCCCTGTGTCTCTAACAGAGTGGTTTCACTCCTCTGCACATCGCCGCTCACTACGGTAATGTGAATGTCTCCACCTTGTTGCTGAACAGAGGAGCTGCTGTGGACTTCACAGCCAGGGTACAGCATCCTCTTGTTCTACCTCCAAACTTCCTCAATGCATTGTACTTCAGAATAACAATGCCAGCATGAACTTGATTATACCAATGTTCCCATCCCACAATATCAATGTCTTGATAGAATGAAGTATTTTGTTCATAGTGTAGGTGAGGTATAACAAAGTGCCCCATGAAAATGTTCAAAAGGATTAGAGCAATTTACTTAAAGTGACAGAATTTCTTTTATGTTCCTTGATTTAGAATGGAATTACTCCTCTTCATGTGGCTTCAAAGCGTGGGAACACCAACATGGTGGCTTTGTTGCTTGACCGAGGCGGTCAGATTGATGCCAAAACTCGAGTGAGTCATCAACTTCATTTATGTTCTTTTTTACTTTATTGAAAGCTTTCTGTGTAATCATACTGCGTCATATTTTGTCTTTCAGGATGGTCTGACTCCACTTCACTGTGCAGCAAGAAGCGGGCATGACCCGGCACTGGAGATCCTTTTGGACAAAGGAGCTCCCATTCTTGCAAGAACTAAGGTACTTTGAGAAGATGCAGTAGCTATTTTGAATCTAAATCCAAACTGGCCTTTTTAAAACCAAACTCAATATGAAATGTGCATAATTAATGTGTATATTTTCACCCCACAGAATGGACTGTCTCCTTTGCACATGTCAGCCCAAGGAGACCACGTGGAGTGTGTGAAGCTCCTGCTGCAACACAAAGCCCCTGTAGATGACGTCACACTTGACTACCTCACCGCACTGCATGTTGCCGCTCACTGTGGCCACTACAGAGTCACCAAGCTTCTCCTAGACAAAAAGGCTAACCCTAATGCAAGAGCATTGGTACGAGCAGTAATGATTATATGTTATTCACATGTGCTTTGTGAGGCCTGTCCCTGATTACTACCTGTGGATATTTATGCTCTATATTTTATACTTTTTCATTGTTGTATGGAATAGAATGGATTCACTCCTCTTCACATCGCATGCAAGAAGAACAGAGTTAAAGTGATGGAGCTTTTGGTTAAATACGGTGCCTCCATTCAGGCAATAACTGAGGTAAAACATTGTTATTTGATTTTATTTTCCCTGGTTACATTATTGACAGTTTTATTTTTATTTTTTTGTCATATGTTTTTTTCTAGTCTGGTTTGACTCCCATTCATGTAGCTGCCTTCATGGGCCACCTCAACATTGTTCTACTTTTGCTGCAAAATGGAGCTTCACCTGATATTCGTAACATTGTAAGTATTATTTTATATCACAACATTTGTTAAAACACTAGCTGTATTGTATTGAGATTATAAAGTGTATTCACTGTCTGTCTGTTGATCAGCGTGGTGAAACAGCACTACATATGGCAGCAAGAGCTGGTCAGATGGAAGTTGTTCGCTGTTTGCTAAGAAATGGTGCTTTTGTAGATGCTATGGCCAGGGTGAGAGACTTCATACACGTTTATATAAGAAATAATTCATACATTAAGTTGTTTTCAACCTGTTTTATCTTCTCATGTTTACTTAGGAGGACCAAACTCCTCTCCACATTGCCTCTCGTTTAGGAAAAACAGATATAGTCCAGCTCCTGTTGCAGCACATGGCTCATCCAGATGCTGCCACCACCAACGGTTACACTCCGCTCCACATCTCAGCCCGAGAAGGGCAGGTGGAGACTGCAGCTGTGCTCCTGGAGGCAGGAGCCTCGCACTCGCTTGCCACTAAGGTCAAAAAAGGGTTTTCATCTTCTAACGTTGTTATTCTCAGAAAGTTCCTGCAAAATAGACTGATATGATATGTAATGTCGATCTATAGAAAGGATTTACCCCATTACATGTAGCAGCTAAATATGGAAGCCTTGATGTAGCAAAACTCCTTCTTCAAAAGAAAGCTCTTACTGATGATGTCGGAAAGGTGCGCTTGAGACAAAAACAAAAAAATTTTAACTAATGTGACAGTAGTCTAGTATTTAATGAGCTGTTTTCTCTATTGTGGCCTTCTTGTTTAGAATGGTCTATCCCCACTCCACGTGGCAGCTCATTATGACAACCAGGAAGTGGCGCTGCTGCTTCTTGATAAAGGCGCATCACCTCATGTCACTGCAAAAGTAAGGCAATCTTCTAATATAAATGATGAAACATCTAAGTACTTTAACAAACCATTGTTTTTTTGTCTAGAATGGCTACACCCCTCTGCACATTGCTGCTAAAAAGAACCAACACAACCTAGCACTCTCGCTGCTGCAGTCTGGAGCAGAGACCAACGCTTTGACCAAACAGAGCGTCAGTCCGTTGCACCTCGCAGCTCAGGAAGGACATGCTGAGATGGCTGCTCTGCTGATAGGGAAAGGAGCACATGTCAATGCAGCAACTAAAGTACATACGTCAAAATATATATTTCATAAAGAGCAGACCCATGAACCTTTGAAATGATTTTGTTACAGACTGGCCTGACTCCTCTTCATCTCACTGCCCAAGAGGACAGAGTAAATGCGGCAGAAGTATTAGCTAAAAACGACGCTAATTTAGATCAGCAAACAAAGGTAATAAAACTTGAGCCAAAGCATCAACACTTCAACAACATCTGCATCACCACCGCTCTCACTTCTCTTTTAGCTTGGATATACTCCTCTGATAGTTGCCTGCCACTATGGAAATGCCAAGATGGTTAACTTCTTGTTACAACATGGAGCCAATGTGAATGCAAAAACAAAGGTAACCATCAAGTAGTCCACATAAACCTTCCATTCTTCTTAACTTTTCAATATCATTATCTTTTTTATCACTGCATTTTTTTAATTTTATTGTTTAGAATGGATACTCACCTCTTCACCAAGCAGCACAGCAGGGGAACACACACATCATAAACGTTTTGTTGCAACATGGAGCAAAACCAAATGCTACAACAGTGGTAAGAGAAACAGGACTGCTTATAGAGAGCACTAATACACTATGAAAATAGGTCTCAAATATTGTTCACATTTCTTAGAACGGAAACACCGCTTTATCGATTGCCAAACGTCTGGGTTACATCTCTGTGGTAGACACCCTGAAAGTGGTATCAGAAGACATCATCACTACCACCACAGTAAGTTCAACTAAATGACTGCACTGTTATTCTGGTATATTTCTTTACAATCTTTTGCGATTCAGACAATAACAGAGAAACACAAGCTGAACGTGCCAGAGACAATGACCGAAGACTTAGATGTATCGGACGAAGAGGGTAAGTCACATCACTTATACATTTGTTTTGTAATATGGGTAATATAGCATTGAAACTGGGGTTTATAGTTGTGTATGTTTTAAAGCTTTTAGGCTTGATGACGAGACTTGTTCTGACGGGTCTGTAGAGGTGGAAGGTACAGAAAATGCCCGCTTGCTGTGCAATGTTTTCAGAGAAATGTGATTGCCATTTTAGCCTATTCATAATGCGGTCATCATATACAGTAACCACAATATAACCAGTTTAATTGGATGGACGTATTTCAAACTTATTACAACTAACAGGTTTTTCTCCCTTGCATGCACTTGAATCCTGAAGCACTAATTGTGATGTTTCAGCTTGAACTGTGTGGATTGAAAAGACTGTTCTGACGGTTGGATTTTCCCAGGAGAGGATACAATGACCGGTGACGGAGGCGAGTACCTGAGAGCTGAAGATCTCCGAGAGTTGGGAGATGATTCACTGCAAGGACATTATTTAGATGGTTTCAGCTACATGAGCCACAACCTGGACAGGTGATGTATTTAACAATGCATGCGGCAACTCATTGGGCAGATGCAAAACTGACAGGCTTACTTCTCTTGACAGCTTTCATCGGGGAGAAGGAGTTCTTATTGAACATATGATTTCAAGCCATCAAGTACGTTCTTAAGCAATAGGTTCTCAGTCGTATTTTATTTTCCTTGAAGGAGACATTACATGCCTTTGACCATGTTATGGTAGTTTTCTCTTGAGTTATTTATAATTTCATATACTGTATGGGAGATTCCATTGCTCTCCTCTCAGTCCTCTAACCGCTGCATCCCTAGGTCTCTCCTAGGTATTTACGTACTTTTTTCCCAATTTTTTTTTTCGGAATCCGTTATATGAGGAGGACTCGTCCACATTGCACAGCTGTTTTTGCCTTTGATGTAACGATGTTTCACTGACGTTACGTTTAGAGTACGTCTGAATAGGGGGAAATGAGGAAGTGCCCGGACTGTCTTTTTTATAACATTGTTTTAGCTCAATCTAAAGATTTAATATGAACTAGATATTTAGGAATGCACCATGTCGGCCATAGATTATCATACGCAGTATAGACGACAGATTCACATTATGTCCTCTTTAAATCTATTATTCCTGGGCATATTCCTAATTGAACTTTTTGCTTCAAAAGGTATCAGCTCTGTCGAGAGAGGACAAGGAGTCATTTCGTCTAAGCTGGGGAGCTGAACATCTAGATAATGTGGTGCTGTCTACCACACTGCTGAACTCTGGGTATTGTTGAGATGTTATTCATTCTGCCTTCTGAAACAACAATATATATATATATTTATTTATTTTTTTTATATTTTTTTTAAAATTACATATTTTATATACATGTCTCCTCAATTATCCTTAATTAGTTTGAGTTTCTTTTAAGTGTCAGGCACAAATGTGCTCAGCCCACATGAGCTTATATCACCTCTGAAGTCAGATGGCTACAGACCACACACAAACATGAATAAACAATAATTTACCGTACTGTAAACATCTCAAACAGGATGCAGAATTTGTTGTCTCCTCTCTCAGGCTTCAAAAACAATAGATGCAAAGGCTTCACCGGGCTCCATAATATCTATGTTTATGATTGTCAAGCAGATTTTCCAATCAGAGAGCACAATGAGGCCCTGATTTGGGTTGCCAGTTTGTTAGGTGAAAAAGCCTTCACTGGTTTGTACTCTGTCTAGCTAAACGTCAGCAGATGGATTGCATTAGTAATCAAAGCTCATGACACAGATAGATTATGGCAACAAATGTTGGATTGTACAGACTTTGTTTGACCACTAAATACTACATATTACATACTAAACTTCAGCTACAAATGCTTTTGTAAATAAATTATATGTTAAAGTAAGACTTCATTTCATGTTCTGTAGGTCTCTTTTCAGCTCATAGACTGTAGAGGAGTGGACATAGCCTGCCTGTTAACTCTCACATTCCCAATGAACCGGCAAAGTAAAAATGCAGTTCTTTTCTACTATTTTTTAAAAAGTTACCCTTGCTGCTAGTGCAAGCTGGGCCTCCATGTCTGGAGCAGGTTAGCCACTGTTCGACTAGCCTCCACGAGCTTCATCTGTTGAGAGTCGAACACTATGGGGACGTCACACTCTGTCCACTCTTTTCTATGGTCGATGTCTCAGCTTCTTAAGTGTGTTCTGTGTTTTCTGTCTTGTGTCAGGTTCAACTCATCTTTTATTCTCTTCTCTTTGTTGTTGTGTGTTTCCATTGTGTCACTTGGCTGTCTTGTTGGTTGTATGTGGGTTGATGTGTTCTGCTATAGCCGCTCCACTCCGTGTCTAGACCATGACAACAGCAGGTGAAGCTTTTTAATTTTGCATTATTGTGTTATGTTATGACACTCTCATGCATGGCGCATGTTTAGTGTTATTAAATTCAGATTTAAATGTCATAATAATAATAATAGTAATAACAATAATAATGGCCTTGTTCTCCCAAAATCTTTAACATTTTTCACTAATTATACCTATACCTAATTATCATAATTGCTTATGTAAGTTTGCAAAATGCACATCTTTGCCGCAGATCCGAGTAAATAAAATTGATCTGCATGGAAGTGTTGCTGTATTTTAGATGTATGTTTATGTTAATGTGTTGGTGGCATGTTTACAGCTTCCTGGTCAGTTTTATGGTGGATGCTAGAGGTGGAGCCATGCGTGGTTGCCGTCACAATGGGCTTCGTATTATTGTTCCACCGAGAAAGTGTTCAGCTCCTACAAGAGTGACATGCAGGCTGGTGAAGAGGCACCGCTTAGCTTCAATGCCTCCTATGGTCGAGGGTGAGGGCTTGGCTGGTCGTATCATTGAAGTCGGACCCACTGGAGCTCAGTTCTTAGGGTAAGTTGGAGCTTCTGTCAGAGAAACTCATGTTATACAGATATTTGTGTTTATGTGTGTTTCTGGCTTCATCTCTGTGCTGCGTATGGATCAGTAAACTACATCTGCCCACTGCTCCACCCCCTCTGAATGAGGGTGAGAGCCTGGTCAGTCGCATTCTCCAGCTGGGTCCTCCAGGGACCAAGTTCCTCGGGTAGGGCCCTGGGTTGGGAACCCCATCACAGCTTGATTATGTCTCCTTTTTTTTCATTTATGTAATTTTATTATTTGAATGATACAATTTTTTATTCTAATATGTGGATTGTTGTGGGTCAAATTGAAAAACTCACACAAATCCTTCTTATCAAGCTCCTATGGAAATTTGTCTCAATTATACACTGAATGTTGCAATACTCCTAAGAATTGGCTTCAGATTGAATGTGTGTGGTCATTACTGTTCTTTTGGTGAGTCACATGAGTCAAGTTCTGCTTCACAGACATTTCTTTGTTGTACTATCTGTTGTCATTCTTTCTTTTGTATCTTTGCATGAAACGTATGATAAATTATTATTATATTTTGAGAACATAATTTCCATATAATCAGTCAAACTAAATGTATCATCCAACTGAACATTAATTTTGAATAATTGTGTTCTTGGGTTTGGTTGTTTTTAAAGGCCCGTCATTGTGGAGATCCCCCATTTTGCAGCACTGCGGGGCACGGAGAGAGAGCTCGTCATCTTGAGAAGTGAGACCGGAGAAAACTGGAGAGAGCACCATTGTGATTTCACTGAAGAGGAACTCAACCAGATACTTAATGGCATGGATGAAAGTATGATTTCTCAATGTCCTAAACTCTCATTTAGAAAATATCAATGATTGTCTGACACTGTGAATGCCGTCCTTCACAGAGCTTGATTCCCCTGAAGAACTGGAGAAAAAAAGAATATGCCGAATCATCACACGAGACTTCCCCCAGTACTTTGCCGTTGTGTCCCGAATAAAGCAAGACAGCCATTTGATTGGTCCAGAGGGAGGGGTCTTGAGCAGTACCTTGGTTCCTCAGGTCCAAGCGGTGTTCCCTGAAGGAGCACTCACCAAAAAGATACGAGTGGGTTTGCAGGTACAGGAAACTAGATTCAGAGCTAAAACGTGGGAGAGCAAGAATTACTTTACACTTACTATTATTTTGTTTTGTCACAGGCTCAGCCAATTGATGTTGACACAGTGAGAAAAAGCTTGGGTAATAAAGCAATATTTAGTCCAATTGTAACATTAGAGCCTAGACGGAGAAAGTTCCACAAACCTATTACTATGACAATCCCCGTTCCCAAGCACGCAAACAGTGAAGATCAGAGCACAGCCTTCAATGGCGAGACACCAACTTTAAGATTGCTTTGCAGTATTACTGGTAAGTGGCAAATCAATTATTTGAAATAAACTATAGCAATTATTCAATTGTATTGACCTGTGCCATGCTTTAGGTGGTACAACTCCAGCACAGTGGGAGGACATTACAGGATCTACGCCTTTAACCTTTGTAAACCAATGTGTTTCATTTACAACCAATGTATCAGCAAGGTAAGTCTTCTTAATCACTTGTATTGCAACAATTGCAGAGCTAATAATCAAAGTGAGGTTTGAACATTTACTTTACTATGTTTATTTTACGCCTGTAGGTTCTGGCTTATTGACTGCAGACAAACTCAAGAATCGGTCAGCTTTGGCACACAACTTTACAGGGAGATCATTTGTGTGCCTTACATGGCCAAGTTTGTCATTTTTGCCAAGACATTAGATCCTATTGAGGCCCGACTTCGCTGCTTCTGTATGACTGATGACAAGATGGACAAAACGTTGGAACAGCAAGAGAACTTCACAGAAGTTGCACGCAGCAGAGATGTCGAGGTGCATATGATGATGAACACCATGAAATTCCAACCTTTTTCATTTGGCCTGATTGCGTAGGATTTACCTACCTATCTTCTTTTACACAGGTGCTGGAAGGAAAACCAATCTTCGCAGACTGCTTTGGCAATCTGGTTCCTCTGACCAAGAGTGGACAACATCATGTATTCAGCTTTTTTGCTTTCAAGGAGAACAGATTAGCCCTTTTCATAAAGGTATGCCTAATCAATAATCAGTGTTGGGCACGTTACTTTGAAAAATTAATTAGTTATAGTTGCTAGTTACTTCTCCCGAAAAGTTTATAACTCAGTTACTCCACTATAAAAGTAACTAGTTACCATAAAAATAACTATTGCGTTACTTTTTTGTTTCTCGTCCCCCCTAAATCCCCCTGGCCCCCACCTTCTCAGAGCGTGTTTCATAAACCAGATTAATAGAGTGCACGACAAAAAAAAAGCCAAGTCCCTGCACAAAGGTTTGCATTTATTGCAACTCAACATAAATGACAGCGGATGAACATACACTTCTCAAAATATCTTTGTGCTCATTTTTACCTTTAACCTCAGTGAGTTTGAAATAGTGCCGATATTTCCATCTGGAAAAGGTTGTTTTGCTGCTGAAGTCCTCCTCACTCTCCATCTCTCTCTCTGTGCTGTAAGCACTAAACACTGTGAATGCGGAAACACCCACCCACCCAATTTCTCTGATTGGCTGAAGACGTAATCTTACTATACATCAGCCAATAATTGCTGAGAGGTTTTCTCATCCTCCCTTCTCTCATTTCAACCTGGAGAGACTACAAGAGACGAGATGCGTTTAAGAGTTGTTTATTTTATGGATTGAGTTTGTTTATTGGTTTGGAGCTTAGGCCCCGGCTGTGGCCGTGCTCTGAAGAGATCTGCGCCTGGGTGCAGATCATGATCCCCCGGGGCCTAGACACTGGTGGTGGCAACAAGGCAAGGTGAATGTGAGAGTGAAGAAATCCTGAGGCGGAGGTGGGGAGGAGGTGGTTGCAGCTTGAAGTCCGTTTGGTGAGCTGTGCTCTGCTTTGCTCTTAAACGCTGGCTTGATTGACACGGCTGCGGGGAGTTGATTAAGACAGGCTGAGTAAGGCGTGGTCTAGCTTGGTGGGATAACGTAGGTAGTCTACCATACTGAACCTCCGCTTAAGCTCCATTTCAACCTGGAGAGACTACAAGAGACGAGATGCGTTTAAGAGTTGTTTATTTTATGGATTGAGTTTGTTTATTGGTTTGGAGCTTAGGCCCCGGCTGTGGCCGTGCTCTGAAGAGATCTGCGCCTGGGTGCAGATCATGATCCCCAAAGAGAGAGCTTGGCTAGCGATGCGTTTGCCATGACTTGGTTGCTGCGTTTATGGAAGGCGCATGGTGTGAGTGAATGTTTCCGTGCGCGAGCTCGGCTCGAGTGCGCGGCGTAATGTCCGTGCGCGAGCTCGGCTCTAGCGCTAGGCGTTGGCACGCGCACGAGCTCGGCTCAAGTGCGCGGCGTAATGTCCGTGCGCGAGCTCGGCTCTAGCGCTAGGCGTTGGCACGCGCACGAGCTCGGCTCGAGTGCGCGGCGTAATGTCCGTGCGCGAGCTCGGCTCTAGCGCTAGGCGTTGGCACGCGCACGAGCTCGGCTCGAGTGCGCGGCGTAATGTCCGTGCGCGAGCTCGGCTCTAGCTCTAGGCGTTGGCACGCGCACGAGCTCGGCTCGATTGCGCGGCGTAATGTCCGTGCGCGAGCTCGGCTCTAGCGCTAGGCGTTGGCACGCGCACGAGCTCGGCTCGAGTGCGCGGCGTAATGTCCGTGCGCGAGCTCGGCTCTAGCGCTAGGCGTTGGCACGCGCACGAGCTCGGCTCGAGTGCGCGGCGTAATGTCCGTGCGCGAGCTCGGCTCTAGCGCTAGGCGTTGGCACGCGCACGAGCTCGGCTCGAGTGCGCGGCGTAATGTCCGTGCGCGAGCTCGGCTCTAGCGCTAGGCGTTGGCACGCGCACGAGCTCAGCTCGAGTGCGCGGCGTAATGTCCGTGCGCGAGCTCGGCTCTAGCGCTAGGCGTTGGCACGCGCACGAGCTCGGCTCGAGTGCGCGGCGTAATGTCCGTGCGCGAGCTCGGCTCTAGCGCTAGGCGTTGGCACGCGCACGAGCTCGGCTCGAGTGCGCGGCATGCTGGAAATGAGGAGTTGCCACCACCAGGAGATGCATACGTACTTATATGAGACGAGGCGCTGGGCTGCCAGAACGGATGAATGTGGTAGAGAACCGGGGACCGAGCTCCTGGAGAGATGATTGAGGGAGTCCCAGGGCAGCAGCCCAAGTGGCTGCTCCTATCCGGAAGGAGTGGCGGGTGTAGAGAAAGGAAGAGAGGTTATATGCAGGGAGCAGAGGTTTTGAATTTGTTCAGACCAGGGGGTCGTTGAGGGATTGTTTAAGGAGTAATTATAGTCTATGAATGTTGATAAAATGTCCATAGATGTTGTAGCATGTTAAAGTATCCTGGATCATCACCACGGGCCTTCTAGTTGGACACTAACTGTCCAGACCCTCCTGCATGGCAAGGAAAACTCACAAAACCCCGTGGGGAAAAAAGTGAGAAACCTTCGGAAGACCCTACATTGAGAGAGGGAATCCACTCCACGGACAGACAGGCTAGTCGTCCAGGACCTAAACTACAGAACAAGGACCATTGCCAATACTCCTTTAAGGATCTTCTTATGAGGGTGGAGCAGTGTGACTCGAAGTGGATTTTAGAGAATGTATTTAATGCCGATGTAGATGAGGCAGTGACAGCAGTACCCGCGATGCTGATGTCCAGAGACTGAGAGTGTGCAGTGAGAGGGAAAGGAGAATGCTGAATGAAGGATGAACTGCTGGTGTTTAGAGCGCTGATATTCGAACATGATTCCACTTGGGGAGACTAGAAGGTGAAAATGAGATTCATGAAGTACACTTACCCAGGAAGATTGATGTTCGATAGGAGATCTCTGGACCCCCAAAAACCAACGCACAAGGGCCCGGTCAGAATGAGGGCCAGGGTGCGTCAGGTAAGGCGAAGCGTGAGACAGGCCCGGCGGCAGGAGCCGCACCAGGAGAGAATATGCCTGGGGAACATGAGAAGGAGCACCGCCTACAGCCACTCAGAGTGCACGCAAACCGTGGCGGGCAGTGCTGCACCCAAAAGCCAATGAGTGCGGCCTGGGGAAGATAGCCGGCCAGGTTTGAAGGCCACGCCGAACAGTACTCATGCAGTCTTAGCAGGCCAGCGTTGCAGCAGGCCACCGTCGCGGCGTTGTAGCAGAGTTTTGGTGCGGCGTTGCGGCATCGCGTTCCTGCGAAGCTGAAAAGAGAAACCTCGAACCACTATCACTCGAGTGAAAAGGACCAACGGGCAGTGTCAGACCACGTCTTCAGTCAGACCACGTCTTCAGTCAGACCACGTCTTCAGTCAGACCACTGACCTGATCCGTCGATGCCGGCTCTTCCCGTCATTGTGAAGCAGAACTCTCCAAGCGTTGGATTGTTCACCCCCCAATAGGGTACGCGAGTCCATGGTCGACACTGGTCCCACGATGAATGGATGAGAGCACACGAATGCGTCGAAGCGTGGCGTCGAGAATGCGGCAGGAGGCGGACACCGACGTGGCGTCAAACAGCGGCCACCGGCGATGAAGCGTGCGGCCGGCGATGAAGCGTGCGGCCGCCGACGTGCTGCGATGAAGCGTGCGGCCGCCGACGAGCTGCGATGAAGCGTGCGGCCGCCAACGAGCTGCGATGAAGCGTGCGGCCGCCAACGGCGCCGTCGTTGAAGCGCGCGGCGTCGTTGAGGCGCGCGGCGTCGTTGAGGCGCGCGACGTCGTTGAGGCGCGCGGCGTCGTTGAGGCGCGCGGCGTCGTTGAGGCGCGCGGCGTCGTTGAGGCGCGCGGCGTCGTTGAGGCGCGAGGCGGCGTCAAAGCGCGCGGCGTCAAAGCGCGCGGCGTCAAAGCGCGCGGCGTCAAAGCGCGCGGCGTCAAAGCGCGCGGCGTCAAAGCGCGCGGCGTCGTTGAGGCGTGCGGCGTCGTTGAGGCGTGCGGCGTCGTTGAGGCGTGCGGCGTCGTTGAGGCGTGCGGCGTCGTTGAGGCGTGCGGCGTCGTTGAGGCGTGCGGCGTTGTTGAGGCGTGCGGCGTCGTTGAGGCGTCGTTGAGGCGTCGTTGAGGCGTGCGGCGTCAAAGCGTGCGGGAGGAGTCGAAGCGTGCGGCGTCAAAGCGTGCGGCGTGGAGGAGGAGTCAAAGCGTGCGGCGTCAAAGCGTGCGGGAGGAGTCGAAGCGTGCGGCGTCAAAGCGTGCGGCGTGGAGGAGGAGTCGAAGCGTGCGGCGTCAAAGCGTGCGGCGTCAAAGCGTGCGGCGTCAAAGCGTGCGGCGTCAAAGCGTGCGGCGTCAAAGCGTGCGGCGTGGAGGAGGAGTCGAAGCGTGCGGCGTCAAAGCGTGCGGCGTGGAGGAGGAGTCAAAGCGTGCGGCGTCAAAGCGTGCGGCGTCAAAGCGTGCGGCGTCAAAGCGTGCGGCGTCGAAGCGTGCGGCGTCAAAGCGTGCGGCGTCGAAGCGTGCGGCGTCGAAGCGTGCGGCGTCGAAGCGTGCGGCGTCGAAGCGTGCGGCGTCGAAGCGTGCGGCGTCGAAGCGTGGCGTCGAAGCGTGGCGTCGAAGCGTGGCGTCGAACCGTGGCGTCGAAGCGTGGCGTTGAAGTGGCGTAAGGCCAGAGCACTGGGCAAATGAACAGCACAGAGGGGCTCGGCCGCGCACCGACCAATCAGATCAATGCAGTGGACAAAACTTACAGTCCACGGTCAATTTAGACAGCGCGAAGGCCAATGCAGACGACAAATGTTATAGTCCATGGTTACACCTGACAGCCTGAAGGTCAATGCAGTGGGTAAAATGTTCAGTCCATAGTAAAACGGACAGCCAGAAGGCCAACACAGTGGTTAAAATGTACGGTCCATGGTGAAAACGGACAGTCTAAATGCCAATGCAGATGGTAAAACGAACAGCCTGAAGGATTCGGCAGGATTAACTGACACGCCGCAGTTCAGTACGTTCATGGTAGTGCGGAAAACACGAAACCGACACTGTACCGTGAGTGGAGGCAGGGAGACGGGTGGACAGCGGCGGCAGACAACGGCAGGCAGACAGAAGTCCCGTGCCCGGTATGGAAGCTGCAGGGTGCACGGAGTAACGCCTGGCCGCGAGTAGCAGCGGCCACGGGGAGACGAGCGGCAGCGAGTCCGCAGGAGAGGAGCCGCGGTGAGCCGCGGTGGAGACACAGCGACCATGGCGCGCAGCCCCAAACATGTGATGTGGAAGAGGAGCCGCGACCATGCAGGACGAACAATGTGCGAGGCGTGAGTAACAAGGTGACGAAGAGCAACCCATTGCAGCTTGAAGTCCGTTTGGTGAGCTGTGCTCTGCTTTGCTCTTAAACGCTGGCTTGATTGACACGGCTGCGGGGAGTTGATTAAGACAGGCTGAGTAAGGCGTGGTCTAGCTTGGTGGGATAACGTAGGTAGCCTACCATACTGAACCTCCGCTTAAGCTCCATGACAACACGCGCACGAGTCCTATCATGAAGTTAAAAAAAAGTTAATTGTGCGACTTGAGTAACGTGCAGTAACTGGGTGTCGGCAATGATAACAGCGTTATAGTTACAGTCAAAGTAATTAGTTAGTTAGTAACGCAGTTTTATTCAATGCCGTTATTCCCATCACTGTCAATAATACACCAATAATAACACCTTGCATTATTACAGTACATTAACTGTGCCGCACAGACCTGAATACATTAAGCTCATGTATTCAGACACACACCACCACTGACACGTCCTCACTCACTCACTGGATTGACTACTACAACTTAAATTGAAGACAAATGTTCTCAAATGCAACATATAATAAGTATCATGCATATATATTAGTCAATTTAAGAATGCTGGGTTGTAAGTAAAAAAGTGCAGCCCTTCTCATCGAGCTCACACAGGGACTTCTGCACTTGATGAGTCAATAGTCCTGCACAAACATTTATAATGAGGCCCCTGGTCTTAAAGTTATTCTCTTGCTGGAGGGCCCTTGAACATGCTGTGTTATGTCTCTGACTCTGAGGACCCTCTCAAAACGGAAATTATTCTTTTAAGTGTATTGTCCAAATAAATAAATGTAATCTAAATTCACAGTATTGTCCTTGTCCTGAAGTTTAAATAAACTACTACATTTATATTTTAGTTGCAATGCTAATTATATATAATTTTGATGAACAGATTCGTGACACTTCGCAAGAGCCGTGTGGACGTCTGTCTTTTACAAAGGATCCACGCACCTATCGCAGTCTTAATCACAACGCTATCTGCAACCTCAATATTACCCTACCAACATACTCAAAGGTATGTTTTCATCCAAACTTATTTTCATTTATATAATTACATGGTTTTACTTGACTACAATTACTGTTGACAGGAATCAGACTCAGACCAAGATGCAGATGATGAGGTAAAACAGACTACAGCCCATACTGGAAAAGAAATCACACACTTTATCTAATATTACTTTGACACACATGTTTTCTATTTTTACAGAGTGAAAGAAGCGACAAAAAATGTAAGTATATGTCTATGTCAAATAAAGAATATATATCTATTGATTATACATTTTTGCATTTGCTAGTATCGAATGTGCTGTACCTGCTTATCTTTACATATCCAATAACTAAATACTTGTTTCTAATTATTTGCATGTGTGCAACCCTCACAATAAGATTTGTACGCATTGCTTTGCATCCTCATTCCTTGCTCTTGACACTAATCCTGCCTCCCCCATCGTTTCTTTATGTTTATGTTTTATGTTTTATTCATACATATTAAATATATTCATTATTTTCATTCATCTACATCAGGGTTACAGTTACATTCATATTTGTAGTACAATTCACTATATAACATATGTATACATATTCATATACATATGTATGTATATATATATATATATATATATATATATATATATTATATTATATATATAATATATATATATATATATATATATATATATATATATATATATATATATATATATTAAATTAAATTAATAAATAAACATAACACATAAAACATAATTCACTGTCCCTATTTTCTTTGCTTATTATCCAATATATATATTTTTTTATCCAGCATTATGAATGGCATGATGTTCAATACAATCTTGAGAATTTTTGTTGGTTCATTTGTTTGTCATTCGTGTTTATCTTTAAGTCAACTAAACTAAGATTATTCTTCTCAGCTTTGTAGAACCTGTTTAGTTTTCTTCCTTTACATTTGCTGCTTTCCTTCCTTCTCTGGATCACCATTTCATCTCCCTTTTGGCCTTGCAAAGACTCTTTTTCCTCTTTCTGCTCTTACAAACGAAGATGGATTTGAGGTCAATGTTTTGATCACTTTCTTGTGTCTCTCTTCTCCCACTTGATTTGTCCCCGTTTTTTGGAACAAAAAGTTTTTGTGTTGAAAGATGATGAATCTGTGTCTACTGACACATTCTCCTTAAGAGTTTGTCAAACTCTCGACCCTGCGATGCTTGCAAGTCCTGACCTTCTGTCTGACATGTCAGACATAAGAGTGTCCACCATACCTGCTGACCACTCAGAGCATTTTACATGCGTTGATAGAGTTGGAGCTAGAGTGTCAATAGATAACCTGTTAGTTGCTGTGGAACCGTCCAAAATGAAAACAGAAACTCAATATTACACCTCTGAATTTCACGATAAAAACATGTCTACTTTAGAGTTTCAAAGGCCTGATAATGAAATGCATAGTAAACAAGTTAAAATCTCAAGTGAGAACGGCAGAGAAACAACCACTGGAATTACTAAAACATTTAGTTCTTCTCAAGACAATCTTGACCAAGGTTCTTGTAAAGAAGTTGTAAACGGTGATGGTAAGCGGAGACCACCTGACATTAAGAAACCGATTCGCAAAAAACTTTGTGAAAGGGAACGGTCTGGGTGCAGTAGCTCCGAAGGAGAGTTGGAGCGTATGAGCTCAGTCGAGTCCTTAGATGGCGACGTAATGCTTCAAGTGCCGTCTTTATCAACCACCACGGCAGAGCCACCAGTTTCTCCTCTTGTAGTTGAAACCTCACTTGGGACTTTAAGTGACAGAGTTAAGGCTTTACAGAGTAATTTTGAAGAAGAGGAAAAGCCAAATCATGCTAATACACAGGCTATTGTTGCAAAGGATGAGCCGAGGTCAGAGGATGATATGCCAGATCTGCCCGGTATTTCCAGGCCTCCTAAATCCCCAAGATCTCAGACAGAAAGATTAGAGGAAACCATGTCTGTCAAAGATTTAATGAAAGCATTTCAGACTGGGCAAGACCCATCAAAAAATAAGACTGGACTTTTTGAACACAAAGCTGTTTTAGCTTCAGTCAAAGTAGAGTGTACAGAAGATCCTGTTATTATTTCTGAGAAAAAGGTTGACTTGGAAGAGAATCAAAAGGACGATAAAGTTGACCAGCCAGTGTCTTTTTCTACCAACCAGATTCCCTGCACAGAAACAGCAAAGGATGCAAATAAAGATCAAGCTATGTCCGTCAAAGAACTGATGAAAACATTTCAGACAAGTCAAACAGTCATAAAAGCCAAACCAATAGATCAAAAACTTATGGCTTCTTCACTTACAACTTTATTATCTGAATCTCTAGACCAAGACTCAAAAGCAAGACAAGAAATAAAAATACAAGCTGATATTCACCAAAATAATCAATTACAAGGTACTACCATCGACCAGTGTGAAGAAGCACAACTTCAAGTTGAAAAGAAAGTAACATTTTCAGGCATTGTAGTGATTAATGAGGATAGTGTCATGCCTTTGTCAGAGGATGAGACTGATCCAGTCAAAACACAAAGAGAGTTGCAACAACTGGAAGATAGCTCATCCCCATGTATTATAAATGCAGAGCCTTTCGACAAGAAACTCTCAATTAAAAAGCAAGAATTCTCAATTGAACAATTACAACCACAAAAAGAGACACCCTATATTTTAGAAACAGCTTGTGATGAAGTAGTGACTACAATGAATCAGCCAACCTCTCCTCAAAAAGCAAAGCAAAAAGTAATTAAGGAAGAAACAATCAAATCTGAACAGGGACCCGGAGAAGACAAAGGGCTTTTGGATCTCATTGGCAAAGTGTGTGTTGCAGCAGTGTCTTGTAAAAGTGGTGATCCGGCACAAATAATTGAACATGAACCAACTATTATCAAGCCCACAGTCACTGACCCAAATGAGAGAGAGACACTGACATTAGATGAGCCTTTGACTTCCAGAAACTCCCATGACATGCAGATCAGTCCTGACCGCAGACCTTCTGAGGACTTCAGCGCTGACATTAAAGCTGAACTGGAGGATAATCCTGAGTACCAACTTTTTAAAAGTGAGTACAGGGTGGAATTACCCGAGACCGAAATACTCACAGAAGATATTGACTCATATTCTGGTGATGATGAAGGTTATGACCAGCTTCTTGTAACAGATCAGACAACTGAAGAAATGCTGAGTTACTACAGAAAAGACAACAATTCTGTTTCAAACAAAGCAGTGTATGCAAATGAATTCAAACCAGATTCAGTAGTAAGCAAAGAGAAACTGTCAACTGAAGAACATGAATTTCAAGAAGTTCACATTGAAAGACAAAAAGTTACACGGGATATGCCATCAAAAGACACGTCGGGCATGACTGACCTCTTGACCAAAGAATTGAATCAGTGCCTTCAAAACATACCAGACCAAGAAAAAGAAATTGATATGGTCCAGGAGAAATTTGAGGAGGTGATTTTAGCCAAAGAAAAGAAAACTGATATCCAAAATTCCACGAATAGAATAGGTGAAGAAAAAGAACCACTGGCTGAAAAATATACTACAGAAACCAAAGAAAAACACTTGTCTGGAATGGAATCACTACTCATCAATGACTTGGAACAGCTCCGCCCTGATGCACCACTCAGTTCATCAGATACCAACATCGACACAAACCAAGTAAAGAATGCTATTGCCAAAAAAGAAGCATTGACTAGCCCAGAAGGTAAACATTGTCTTACAACAGCAGACATATGGTCATTTGAGCTTGATCAAGATTCAGACAAGACTTTTGAAGCCACTCCAGCATTATGTAACGACTCTATAGTAATGGACGACTCTGACCAATCGAATGTTCCAAAAATACAACATGCATGTGATGGGGCACCACATTCAACCACAACACAGGAAACTTGCAGTGACATGAAAGACACTTCTTCTGCAGATGTGAGATTATTTATTACAGATGGAGACACTGCTTCTGTTTGTAGCCATAATCTTGATGAAACAAATAACACAGGGAAAGACTCAATACAACAAAGGAAAGAGGGAGCTGTCTTAGAGGCACCATTTCAAGAAAAGCAAATCAGCCATCAAACTGTGTCAGAAAAACCCAGTGTAAAAAAAGACATGTCTGGTATGATTGCCCTTCTCAGTGATGATTTAGAGCAATATGTTTTGGAATTCCCTGCAGAAAAAACAATTCATGCTGATTGTGCTAATGAAAGCCCTGTTCAAGTCACTGTGACGAAGGGGAAGTTAGAGAATAGGGAGGAACAGCTGCTAGAGCATCGTGAAACACACATAAAAGAAATATCTCCAAAGACACAAGAATTTAAAAAAGATATGTCGGGGATGATCTTATTACTTAGTTGTGATTTAAATAGTGATCTTGAAAAAAATATGTCAATTCCTCCGCTTCACCAAACTGCAGAAGAAGTTATCTTGGATAAAGATGCAAAACAATTACCAGCTGATACCTCACAGAAGACCCCAAGTGAGAAGGAAGAGCTGTCTTCAAAGGGTCCTATTCTAGAAGAAGATGGCACCACATCTGAACATGAACAAAATCGCAAAAGGCTGGGTCAGCTGGAGTTTGATGAACTTAGTGATTGTTCACAGCAAGACTCACTAGAGTCAAGTCCTGTATTAGAAAATCTATCTTGGAAGAAATCTCCTGACTCCATTGAACCAAGTCCTACAAAGGAGTCACCTTGTAAGGACTCACTCGAGGGAAGTCCTACCGAAGCAAAGTTTGCTGTGTATGAGGATTATGCCTCCCAGCTCGAAGCCTGCTATCCCTTTGACAAAACTATTTATAATGATAGAACTGAATTGGATGCAAATAATGATTGTCCGACATCCGAAAGATGTGACACAGTATATTCTGACATTTTGACGTCTGAAGGTAAGATTAGCAATGAAAATGTTGGTATTACCAGAAATCAATCACATGAAATGCCCAAAGTGTCTTCAGATATAGAAATATTTGAAGAGATGAAAGCAGAAATTGATACTGAGAAATACATTCTGGAATCGTCAGCACAATTATCGCCCAGTGAAGGCCTTGAAATCAGTGGGTCAAATGCTGATCCCCTATTTCATCCTCAGACCCCATTTGCAACTCAAGATGCTTCAACTTCCAATATGACAAAACTCGAATCAGATCCGTTTCAATTTCAAGAGGGAAAACTGTTTGAAATGACAAGAGGTGGGGCCATTGACATGACCATAAGACAACATGATGAAGAAACAGAATCATTTTTGCAAACTGAGCAACAATTTTACACAGACTCTGTCACTTCTCAAACTGAAAATAGACGCAAATCACAGCTGAGTTCACCAGTTGCTTTAGTTGCAAACACTGAAAATTGTGATACCATTGAAGATCTTGACCTGGATCTTGATACTACTGTAGCTTCCCTCCGTTTGGACGCAGACTCTCACAAAGTGCTTTCAAAACCATCCAATGAATCATCTGAGTCATCCGAGGAAGAATGTGATGACGATCAGTGCTCAGTTATTGAAATTAACTCAGAAAAGGTAGCTCCACATCCAACTTCGATGTCCAAGAAAAGTAATAAAGAATGCACTCTGCCTGTAGAAAGAAATGCCTTAAAACAGAGGACAAGATCAGAGACTGAAGGTACAAACAATAGTAAGGATTTAAACAAAAGAAGTTACTCTGAAAGCAGCAAATCAGTTTTAAAATCTTTCCAGGTGTCCTTACTTAGCCACAAACCTGTAGCAGAAATACCAAACTCAATGAATGTTTCTGAGACTACAGATTCTCCCATAAGGTTGTCTTTGGATTCAAGCAGCACCAGTCATAGGAGTCCAGATTCTGTAATTTTTACCTATGACACCCCAGCCCCACAGAGCACAGATTCAGATGCCCATCCCTTAGTTTCCATCCAGTCTTCATTTGAAAAAGAAGATGTATTTGAATATAGACCCTCTTGGGATGACACTGTAGAAACTCAGATGCAGAGAGTCGCCGTTGATCAAACTCCAGAGTATACTCCAGGTATGGTTAGGTCTCATCTCCCATTTGTTGTTCTGTTGTGCGTGTTTTTTCTCTATTTTTTTCATGACTATGAATTGTGCATATTTAACATTGTAATGTTGTTTGTCATCTTTTTTGCTGTTTTGTATTGGTCTGTTCAAAATCTCAAGATTGAGTTATTGCACTAAACAAATCACATACCTTTTAAATCTCACTACTAATGCAGCATTCTGTTCTCCTCATAAAACAGAAGGTTCTCTTGATTTTCATCAAAGCATTATCACACTAACAAAAGTATTCTGTTTATGCATGCATGCACAGTCATTACAAATGACAAATACTCTTCAATGTAATTCAGTGTATTATTTTTGGAATAATATTACTCTATACTAAATACAAATTACTTTCCTTATACTTAGGAATAATATATTTTACCCAATGCTTTTTAGTAGATTGGCAGGATGATACTGACAGAAAAGAGGAGACATTGACAATCATCGCGGATCTTCTTGGCTTCAGCTGGACTGGTAAGTTTGAATACATTTATTATATTAATACAGAAGTTCTGACTTTTCTCATTTAAAAAAAAAAACTCACACAGAGCTTGCTAGAGAACTTGAATTTAGTGAAGATGACATCCAAGTCATTAGAACAGAAAATCCCAATTCACTTCAGGAACAGAGCCACGCCTTGCTTCAGCGCTGGGTTGAAAGGGAAGGGAAACATGCCACTGGTATGTAAAGTACAATTATTATGCATTGTCCGTAAATTAATTATTCTATAATGGTTATCTTATCTTTGCCAGAGGATTGTTTAGTAAAAAGACTAACGAAGATCAACCGCATGGACATAGTACATCTTATTGAAACTCAAATGAACAAGTCAGTCATCGAACAAACATCAAGGACCTACGCAGAAATTGAGAAGACACTAGATCACAGTGAAGGTAATGCTGCGTATAGGTCATTAAAATAGAGAATAAAAACATCCCAATAACTATCTTTTCATGTTTTCAGTGTCAGTAGCCTTGTCTTCTGTGCAAGAGGATGTAGATAGTCCTAGAATTGTAAGGAGGATTGAAGGTGGGGAACGCAGACCACCTCCAGCTGTCTCTGAAGAGGATCTTTCTGTTGCGTCCTTGTTGGATATTCCATCCTGGGCAGAACCTGTTGAACCCTCTCATTCAGAAAGCTTACATGATTTACTCGAGGACCTTGAGATTCCACAGTGAGTATTGTTCATTTTGTCATGTATGATCAAAGACAATTTTATGAATAAAATTATGTTCTGTTATCCATTTACAGAGAATTGAATCCCAGCCTTTGGAACCCTGATGATGTTAATATACAAGAGCCAACAAGCTATACTCTTGAGGAAGAGCAAGTAAGTACACCCCAAATATTGAAAGAAGCCGAAGTCGAAATCCAAGTGGGGAGGATTACTAGATGCAAAGAAAGAAAATCACATTGTTCCGAGACGGGAAAAGCCACAAGACATGCTATGCGTCAAAGCCAAAGTTACATGGAACCGACGTCTGACCATTGTGGATTTAGAGTGGATTACACCAAACAACTTTATGGTGTGAAAATAACACCATCAATTACAATCAAAGATTTTGGTCTAAGCCTTTTAGAGTCAGATCAAGCTGAGTGTGACTTTGATCATGTTGGTCGCAACATAAGGTGTATGATGCAACCTGGCTATGTTGCACAATCTCGTGACCATCAAGCTCCCTTGGCTAAGACTGAAGACGAAATCAATATAAAAACAGTGGGATCTCAAAGTAGTGCTGTTGCTGACTCTTTCCTCATACACAAGTATAATAACAAAGTAATACAGAAGTCAAGTATGGAACATTTTTCTACATTTTTGAAGCTACAAGATCTGTCAAAGTCTCAAGATTACTTAGGCGGATATGTGGACGATCTGATGTTTATCGATGACACAGAGGATTTCGTCCACACATCAAAACCGCAAATTTTGACATCAGAAAAGAGTGCTAACTTTGATGACATATTTCAACCAATCATAGAGCCGCAAATAAGGTGTGCAGATATAATATGTGACTCAACAGTTTATTGTCCTCTTAATAAGGACAGTGTTCATGCTCAAGACTCAAGAAATGACTTTAAGGAAATATGTGGCACAGAGTATTTAAGCTCATCACCAACTGAGACAACGTGTTGCTTTAGTGCAAATATTTGGAAAACAAAAGCCTCTGGTACCATTAACATGACAAGTGCTACAGAAAAAAGTGAACAGCTACATTCAGTAGATTTGGATCGCTGGAGAAATTGCTCACCAGATTCTGAAATTTCACAATGTAGTTTTTCATTTCTTGAACTTGCACTCTCAGAACGTACCCGATCCCAGCTAAGGTGTCAAACATGCAATTATTTTTTGCTATATTCTAATGAAAAGTCAGCCTTATCGACACAGAATATTTGCATAGTGAAGTCAAGTACAATTAAAAACCTACCATTGGAGAGTAATGTACATGCTTTAGGTTCAGAATTGAACAAACAATTTAATGAAGGACCATCTCCAGTTATCTCCACAAAAAACAATGAAAAGCATGCTTATGTTGATTACTGGCTTTCGACATTAAATTCAAGCATTAATTTAAAAAAGAATGAAGGGAAACAGTCTCCAACAAAGTCTTTTGTAAAAACAAACAGATCTATGGCAGAGGAAGGCGACAAAGGCAAAAGTACTGGAGGAGTCAAAAGGCATATGGAAAAATATACCAAACATGACAAACAAAAAACAAAACATGAAAACTCAAATGATGTTTATGACCTTCCTGTTAATACACAACCTAATATATCAGCAAACAATGAAGGTAATAAAAGGCCAAATGTATTTAAATTAGTTAAAAGGCCAAAGTATGTCTTAAACTTCTTGGGAAACATATTTTCGAAGAAAGATGAACTGAAAACAGAAAACGTAGAAACATGTCAGAGAAAAGGAAAAAGGTCAAAAAAGACAAATCCTTCAAGTCAGCAAGTCAATGAACCTCTGCTCCTTTCAAATAGGGTACAAAGCCATGAACTTCCTGATGCATCATCGAAACAGAGAGTAATAGAAGAGCCATATTTGAGATCAGTCAGTCCCAATGAATCTTCCTACATAGATGATTGGAACTTGTTTAGTAATGATAGGCCTTCATCTCGTGAGTCAGTAGAATCTCACGGTGTATGGAGGTCCCTCTCTCCGGACTCACCTATTCCCCAGTTCAGAGTCTATGATGTTAGCCAGCCTAATGATTTCTTTAGGACTCAGTCTTGTTCACCTTCCTCAACAGTGTCAGACTGGGAAGGGACAGATTTTTTTCTGGATAATCTCTTTGATGAGACAAGAGCCAAGTCACCTCAATCAGACCTATCAGATCTTGACCTCAATAAACTATTTAGTGGTAGACCATTGTCCCGTGAATCTTTGTCATCTGAATTTGACTTTGCATCGATAAAGGAATGGTTGTTTAACCTCAGAGCGTCTTCTCCAGAGTCAGTTGTTTCAATTGAAGAGTCACTCACTGAACCATCAATGATTTTTGGTCAAGTAATGAAACATTGTAACTATTTCTTACAATATTCTCATCGCAGACCTTCAACACCATATTCAGACCTGTCAAACATTGAAGATTTAACATATCATTTAGAAGAACTGTTTGATCCTAGCAGACCAGATACACCAGATTCATTTACTTCAGAAAACAATGCTTGTCGGAAAAAAACGGAAGCAATATCAACCCAAGCCTTATTCACTTCAAGAACCTTATCATATGCAGATGTGGTGCGCGGTATTCCTAATGTACGACCAAAGCTGATAGAAATGGAAGAATCAGATCTGATTTCAGATAGTCCCATATTATTGTTTGAGGAATCTTCTTACATTGATGATGGTAACTACAGGCCTTTATCTCCTGAATCAGCTGCATCTGAAAGTGACTTTAGGCCCCTCTCTCCTGACTCACCTATTCCCCAGTTCAGAGTCTATCATGTTAGCCAGCCTAATGATTTCTTTAGGACTCAGTCTTGTTCACCTTCATCAACAGTGTCAGACTGGGAAGGAACAGACTTCTTTCTGGATAATCTCTTTGATGAGACAAGAGCGCAGTCACCTCGATCAGACATATCAGATCTTGAACTTGATAAACTATTTAGTGGTAGACCATTTTCCCCTGAATCTTTGTCATCTGAATTTGACTTTGCATCGATAAAGGAATGGTTGTTTGACTTCAGAGCGTCTTCTCCAGAGTCAGTTGTTTCAATTGAAGAGTCGCTCACTGAGCCATCAGTGAATTTTGGTCAAGTGATGAAGCATTGTAATTATTTCTTGCAATATTCTCATCACAGACCTTCAACACCATATTCAGACCTGTCAAACACTGAAGATTTAACATATCATTTAGAAGAACTGTTTGATCCTAGCAGACCAGATACACCAGATTTATTAACTTCAGAAAACAATGCTTGTCGGAAAAAAACGGAAGCGATATCAACCCAAGCCTTATTCACTTCAAGAACCTTATCATATGCAGATGTGGTGCGAGGTATTCCTAATGTACGACCAAACCTGATGGAAAAGGAAGAATCAGATCTGATCTCAGATAGTCCCATATTATTTTTTGATGAATCTTCTTACATTGATGATTGTAATTACAGGCCTTTATCTCCTGACTCAGCTGCATCTGAACGTGAATGTGGGCAACTCTCTCCTGACTCACCTATTCCCCAGTTCAGAGTCTATCATGTTAGCCAACCTAATGATTTCTTTAGGACTCAGTCTTGTTCACCTTCATCAGCAGTGTCAGACTGGGAAGGGACGGATTTCTTTCTGGATAATCTCTTTGATGAGACGAGAGCACAGTCACCTCGATCAGACATATCAGATCTTGAATTTGATAAACTATTTAGTGGTAGACCATTGTCCTCTGAATCTTTGTCATCTGAATTTGACTTTCCATCAATAAAGGAATGGTTGTTTGACTTCAGAGCGTCTTCTCCAGAGTCAGTTGTTTCAATTGAAGAGTTGCTCCCTGAACCATCAATGATTTTTGGTCAAGTAATGAAACATTGTAACTATTTCTTGGAATATTCTCATCGCAGACCTTCAACACCATATTCAGACCTGTCAAACACTGAAGATCCCACTTATCATTTAGAAGAACTGTTTGATCCTAGCAGACCAGATACACCAGATTCATTTACTTCAGAAAACAATGCTTGTCGGAAAAAAACGGAAGCGATATCAACCCAAGCCTTATTCACTTCAAGAACCTTATCATATGCAGATGTGGTGCGAGGTATTCCTAATGTACGACCAAACCTGATGGAAAAGGAAGAATCAGATCTGATCTCAGGTAGTCCAATAATGTTTTTTGATGAATCTTCTTACATTGATGATGGTAACTACAGGCCTTTATCTCCTGACTCAGCTGCATCTGAAAGTGAGTATAGGCCCCTCTCTCCTGACTCACCTATTCCCCAGTTCAGAGTCTATCATGTTAGCCAGCCTAATGATTTCTTTAGGACTCAGTCTTGTTCACCTTCATCAACAGTGTCAGACTGGGAAGGGGCAGATTTCCTTCTGGATAATCTCTTTGATGAGACGAGAGCACAGTCACCTCGATCAGACATATCAGATCTTGAACTTGATAAACTATTTAGTGGTAGACCATTGTCCCCTGAATCTTTGTCATCTGAATTTGACTTTGCATCGATAAAGGAATGGTTGTTTGACTTCAGAGCGTCTTCTCCAGAGTCAGTTGTTTCAATTGAAGAGTCGCTCACTGAGCCATCAGTGAATTTTGGTCAAGTGATGAAGCATTGTAACTATTTCTTGCAATATTCTCATCGCAGACCTTCAACACCATATTCAGACCTGTCAAACACTGAAGATCTCACTTATCATTTAGAAGAACTGTTTGATCCTAGCAGACCAGATACACCAGTATCATTTACTTCAGAAAACAATGCTTGTCGGAAAAAAACGGAAGCGATATCAACCCAAGCCTTATTCACTTCAAGAACCTTATCATATGCAGATGTGGTGCGAGGTATTCCTAATGTACGACCAGACCTGATGGAAAAGGAAGAATCAGATCTGATTTCAGATAGTCCCATATTATTGTTTGAGGAATCTTCTTACATTGATGATTGTAATTACAGGCCTTTATCTCCTGACTCAGCTGCATCTGAAAGTGACTTTAGGCCCCTCTCTCCTGACTCACCTATTCCCCAGTTCAGAGTCTATCATGTTAGCCAGCCTAATGATTTCTTTAGGACTCAGTCTTGTTCACCTTCATCA